GTCTCCTGGTGACTGGCCCAAAGTCACCTAGACAGCTTTCATGTCTAAGGTAGGACTAGAACTCACCGTCTCCTGGTGACTGGCCCAAAGTCACCTAGCCAGCTTTCATATCTAAGGTAGGACTAGAACTCACCGTCTCCTGGTGACTGGCCCAAAGTCACCTAGCCAGCTTTCATACCTAAAGTAGGACTAGAACTCACCGTCTCCTGGTGACTGGCCCAAAGTCACCTAGCCAGCTTTCATACCTAAGGTGGGGCTAGAACTCACCGTCTCCTGGTGACTGGCCCAAAGTCACCTAGCCAGCTTTCATACCTAAGGTAGGACTAGAACTCACCGTCTCCTGGTGACTGGCCCAAAGTCACCTAGTCAGCTTTCATGCCTAAGGTAGGACTAGAACTCATTGTCTCCTGGTGACTGGCCCAAAGTCACCTAGCCAGCTTTCATGTCTAAGGTAGGACTAGAACTCATTGTCTCCTGGTGACTGGCCCAAAGTCACCTAGACAGCTTTCATGTCTAAGGTAGGACTAGAACTCACCGTCTCCTGGTGACTGGCCCAAAGTCACCTAGACAGCTTTCATGTCTAAGGTAGGACTAGAACTCACTGTCTCCTGGTGACTGGCCCAAAGTCACCTAGCCAGCTTTCATGTCTAAGGCAGGACTAGAACTCACTGTCTCCTGGTGACTGGCCCAAAGTCACCTAGCCAGCTTTCATACCTAAGGTGGGGCTAGAACTCACCATCTCCTGGTGACTGGCCCAAAGTCACCTAGCCAGCTTTCATGCCTAAGGTAGGACTAGAACTCACAGTCTCCTGGTGACGGGCCCAAAGTCACCTAGCTGGCTTTCATACATAGGGTGAGACTAGAGCTCACCATCTCCCAGTGATTGGCCCAAAGTCACCAAGTGGCTTTCATGATTAAGGCGGAACTAAAAGCTTCCTGTCTCCTGGTGATTGGCCCAAAGTCACCCAGCTGGTTTTTACCTCTAAGGCGGGACTAGAACTCACTGTTTCCTGGTGGTTGGCCCAAATTCATCCAGCTGGCTTTCACGGCTAAGGCAGGACTAGAACTCACCATCTCCCGCTTTCTAGCCTGGTGCCTTAACCACTAGACTGGCACTCCTTTCTGGGTGTGTGTCTGTGTGTTCATATATTATCATATATTACTTGGGGGCTGTCATCAGAGACAGGAAGGGGCCTGCAGGTTGGAGACCCCTGATTTAAACCACACAACACAGGTGTCAAAAGGCATGGCCCGAAGTCAAGTAAGATCTTCTCTTCCTCTGCCACTTGCATTAAGGACTAAACTATTAAAACTTGTAAACTGCCAATTTCAGGTTTAGAGGTC